TATTTACCTTCAGCAGTACAAATTGTTCCAGAACCTGCATCTTGTAAAGCCTGAAATAGATCGATCTGTCAGACTCTAGGCTTTATTTCCATTCCGAGGTTGTTCTCCTTTCAGAATGTAGCGAGTTCAGTTCATTCACCGCCTTTGGCTGCAGATGATTAGAGGGTCATAGAACCAATGACTCCACCAGGCACCAGGCACTAACTCCTTCACAGCTATACATCTACTAAAAACAAACAAACCACTACAAATGGTTCCCTCTGACTGGCAGCCTCTGTGCCCAAGCCACAGAACTGCGAGCTAATCCCACCTCTTTCATCTCCTGAACATTAAGTCTGCAGATTTCAGCAGAATACCAAAAATGCCTCCATGCATACTTGAGCTCCAAGAATAACAAACACAACACAGGCACCCAGAGAGAATAACAAAACTCAGACCACGTCTTTGCAAGCAGAGCTGCCAGTTCCAAGCCAAGTGAGACCCCAGGTCTTCCGAGCCTGGCATTCCCAGACTCCTTTAGAAAATACTGTATCTCTTTATGAACTGAAGTACAAACACTGAACTTTATAATGTCGTCCCCAGCATTAAGAAACGATGATGAAGTAGATCTGTAGTACCTCTCCTGAGGTGGTTTGAAAAACCCTGCATGGAACATGTTCTTTATATTATACCTAAACTGTGGTTTTCTGTGATGGCAAATGCCAAGACTAGTACTGCACTGCACTGAATTATCTACCAGCTGTTTTTGCTTTCACCCATTTTCTGGCACACGTCAAAGATAAGCTTTTCCATCCACTTGTTTTATATAAGGCTAAGTAAAGAAAAATGGACCAGTGCACTTCACTTTATTGCTATAAAACACAACAAGAACAAGAAAAAGGAGTAAAAAGAGAAAGCTAAGGAGCAGCAGGGGCCATCCTTTATTCTTTGAGTTCCATTTAATAAAGTGCTTTTCTTGGGCTGTTTACCTTTAAGAGGCACTACCTCCAACTATGATCTCATGATGATGAACTTTGAAGAATCACTGATTAATGCTTTTCAAGATTTCAGCATTTACAAGGACCTTTGTAGTGTGAATCAGCTCTCACATCTATTGTTAAAATCACTGATCCCGACTTAGGATGCAAACATTGATGTTAATGAAAGAAGCTACTATAGTAAATCGCCAAAAGGATCAATCACAATCTATTGGTCAGCAAATAAGCAAGAGCTAACTGGACAGAAAGCAAATATTCTGATCACCATTCTTCTGTAAAGGCTGTTTCACATGCACAGTGAATTTAATTACATGCAGCTGTGTATTGTATGATTACAGTTACTGATAATCAATCCATCTATTTTCAATAAACACTATGTCCAATAAAGGATTACAGGGAGCTGGAGGCAGACAACAGGCACATGGCAGATATATACTATGGATGGGACAAGAGCAAATTGCAGGGCGGGCATACACACATGCTTACAGAACAGAATTTAGAGAGACAAGTACCAAAGACAGCATGTCTTTGTATTATGGGAGGAAACTGGAACACAAAACCCCTTCATTCACGGGGCAGAAATCGCACCCAAGTCTGGAATTGAACCCAGGACCAAAGAGCTGTGAGGTAGTAGAGCTAAGTATCACACTACTGTGTTGTCCCTTAATAACAGTAATATTGAAAACTTATGCTCATCCTGAACTGTTAGAAAACAAAGATCAGCATTCCTTCTCTCAGAACCTAATTGTGCTAGACAGCAAAATGTGCAAGCTCAAAATCTAATTTTTACCTCTAGTTTTCAGTATTACTGAATGAGATGGCTACATTTTGATGAAAGTACTGAATCCTCACCTCTGACTTTATGTTTCCTTAAATGAAGAACATCCTTCCTGAACCTCCATCAGAACACTGAATCTAAAGGGTTTAGTTGTGGAAGCCAGTCAACCGATAATGGGCTAGGCATTTAAGCCACACAGAGAGTGGTACAATCGGGATGAAAAGTCATTTGGTCCGGATTACATAACAAAGCAAGGTGCAGTCATGATCACAGTATGCTTTAAACACATCTGACTCATCATTACCAAATACTGTACTTAAGTATTAGGCTACACTTCTCTCAGAGACAACCTACAATCTGCCTGAACCCGAAAAGCATGTAGCCAATTCACTCTCTCTAATCCCTTAAAACCACTTTAGTCATGCAGGGAAAACCCTAATCTACAGTGAAGGCAGAGACCTGGGGCTGACAATGCCATAGTACAGTGGAGATGTGAAGCATTAAGAGTGAAATGGCTCTCTCCAGTGTTGGCTAGAAACTGCATCAAAATGTATTTTTAGACCTGTATTTTTAGATTTTTAGAAAACAAAATATATAAAGTCATCATAACCTTGCCTAACATTGCTGTACAATTTACTCTATTGTTCACATAAAGACAAATCAGCAAGGACACTGAAAAAAATAGGCTAGACTGCAGCAAGAGGACTGACCTACAGAACAGGCAGAAGTGTACGTAACTTTAGTTTACGACAAAAGGTGAATTTAGGGAGGCTTGAATGAAGCCTTAATTCTCTGGTGCTCTGTCAACACTCTCCAATACTCGCCACAATAAGAATGTCAACCATTCCATTCTTACTTGAACAACATGCCTCCATGTCCACTGTAAAACTGTTTCAGCTCAGACAACACCGTGATATAAACCCACTACACCTTAGAAAAGTTCTTTTGATTTGTAAGACAAAGATCTGAAAAATAATAATGCATTGTTACCACCTTATACACCTCTATTTTGCTGCAGTGTAATATGATAAACACTCTAGTTCTAACAGAGATAGCATCCCTTTTGAGATGCAATCTTTCATCTACCCATATCCATTTATAGAGTGTTAACATCTCGAAGAATGAAGGCTAAATAGTAACTTTGCTGTCAGTCAGGGTGCCCTTAAAAAAAGAGAGTTACTTTTCAGAGGCCTTCCATGATAACACCCTGAGTTTCAAATCTGCAATATCTGGTCAACCTGTTTCATTAATACATACCTAATAAAGACGTGGACTACAAGTCTGTCCTTCCCAAAAACTTCACTTTTCAAAATGAATGTTTCCTTTTCAATGAGTCCAAGTCCAGAGTGCATAAGCATGGTTACCTTGTGGGTGTGGGTACAGACATTAAAAATCTAAAGATACCTGAGCCAAGACAGAGGATGCTGAAGCACACCAAGCCAAGGTTTTCACTTTTTGTTCAAAACATCCTGACACTGGTGAAGCCGTGCCAGTAGTGCCACTCACCAAGATTCTCCAGAAGACAGTGGCATAATGACACAGCCCAGACTCTAGAATTCCAGGCTGCATCCTAAAAGCTGACTGCAGGTCATTACAGTATGAGTCACTGCTTGATCTCCATGTCCAGCAGACTGGATTCTGATCTTGAAGACACAGCAACAGCTTGTGGAGCAGCCATAACACATCATAGCAAAGTATTGTCTTCAACTTTAGTACACAGCCAAAAATAAACACAAGAGCACTAAACAGTTGACACACGCATTATTGTATATATTGTGTAAGACCCATCTGACAAAGAGGATTGAGTTCTGATTTATGCAGTTTAGCTATTTCCAGGATTCTCCTTACAACTTTCGGACAGCAGGCTGCAAACAATCAGCCATCATAATTGGGTTTGCGCAAACAATCATATTGAACTTGGAATTGAACTTCGGTTTCCATATGTGAATCATGGCTATTTCCTACTGTGCCATCCACTTCCCAGAACTTATATTAAAAGAAGGAAAAAAAAATGAAAGAAAATCCATAATAAACAGTATTGAGTTTTCATTCACTACATTTTTTCTTTTACACATCCGACTTCAATCAACCCACCTATTGGCAATTGTTCTTTCTGAACTTCAGAAACAATTATGGGACTGTATTTACCATCAGATTAAGGTTTTTCTGTTTAGACTACATGTAACTGCAGAAATGTAAAGATATACGTTACTTACATAACATCCACAAACAGATCTACAACACACACAGGGCATGATAAGGCTTGGCGCTGGCAGGAAAGTAGACTTGTGTTCAGAAATGGAAAAGTGGTTTTCTAAAAGCCAAACATCCGATCTCTGAGGCCTTAACCCAAGTCTTTCTCAATCCAATTCCCTGGGATGCCTCTGCCTTCTGGTTTTATGTTCTAGCAGTTCTGTTAAGTTTCTTAACTTTCACTTTTTAGTTAAGAAATTTCAAAGTTAACTACATTAAGTTATACTGTTATGGAGAAATCAGCAGAATTCTAGGAGCTAAACACTATATGATGTTCAATTTAAAGAGGCAGGAGTTAAGACAGTTCAGTTGGAAAGAGAAAACAGAAGGGCCAGGACTGAGAATCCCAATCTGAAATCCAGTGTCAAGCAGGGTCCCCACTGAGAGCCAGGCATAGTACCTGGGTCCACAAGTCAAGAGGTTTCTCAGCCGAGGGATTTCTGACAGTGTTGTCAGTGTTGCTTCTGTTTTCTAACAGAGCTATTAAACAGTGTTGTCTCCGTGGCAGCTCGGTCAAAGGAGGAGAGGTTCCGATGAAAGAATATGGAAGGGGTTGTACCTCCCGACCTTCTTTTCCACCTTCACTCCCATCCTCAATCCCCATACCCCCCATGCGAATGGCGACTACAGACAGGCACTTCCAAAATTCGCAGTCTTCAAGGCTATAAGGTACTTTTCAATTAGCAACAGGTTAAGACCTAAACACAAAGGTGATTTAACATCATAACCAAATGATTTCAATTAAGTAATTAGGATCAGATGTGAAATGAAAACCAGTGCACCCTGAGGCCCTCGAGGAGACAAGCTGCCACTCACCCTTCCCTTTCCCCACCTTTCTCTTTCCTTACATCCTTTCCTTTTCTCTTTTAGTGTCCTCTCTGCCTCCCATCCGACTTCGACCCCTCTAGCCCCCAGCATATCCTCCCTCCCAGATTCCCCCTTTTGCCACACTACCACCCAGCTGCCCCTCCGTGCGAGGCTCCGAAAGATACCTGCTGCGGGGTCTTCGTGGAAACGGCTGTATCGGCTGTGATCCAGCCTGGGCAGACAGCGCTCGATGGGGACCCAGACGAACGTCTCTGGACACAGCAAGTCAGAGGGCCGGTACTGACCCTGAGATGGAGAGACAGACGGGAAGGTTAAACAACAGCATGCTGGACTGCAGGGGCCCCTGAGCCTGCGCTGGGCAAGGAACTGGATTCAATCACCAATCTAAACAAAACCAAGCCAGAATGATTATACTGTAAACACTAAATGACCTTGGCAGGCATTTCTGCACCATTTCAGAAATATAAGTAGGTTCAGCCTGTAAGGATCTGAAAACGGAATATGAGACTGTTGCTAAACTGTTAAAGATGTAGCAGTGCTCCTCTTGGGCTGACCCCTCCCCCACAAACCTACTAAAGATTTTGTCTATATTTAAATGATTTAAATGGGGTTCAGGCATAAGGCCACAAATCGAGGGAAAAAACAGGTTAAATAATACTGTTTGGATAAACATTTTCTTTGCCTGGTGGAAACTGCATCATTTACTTCATCATTAACATCAAGTGTGTAAATAAAACTTATTATAATATATATGACACCCGAAGAAAGCTCCACAGCCGAAACGTTGTTTCCCTTCTTCTCTTTTCAGCATGGAATAAGCCTTTAAGTTGTTCCCTTGCCTCCTACGCATGCTGACGCAGCTACCTACAGTACTTGAACTATTATTTTTTAAATATAGTTTATTAATATTCATATATCTTTAAAAAATATTATAGATACTGCAAAAAAGTTCTGGTATTAGAAAGAAGCCTAGGTGCACCCTTAACCAGAGATTAGGTGTTTGAAATAGTCTTCTAGGCTTTACACCAAAAATAACTATGCTGAGACCTTCTTAAATTATAACAAAACCCATCAGACAAAAATGAACAAAGAACTTAGACCTTTGAAATAAGCCACCCTTTCTAAAATATACTGTAAAGTCCTGTGCCCTGTTTCTCTGTGATAATACAAACTTTTGATTTCTGTTTGGACTGACAGAAAACATGAAAAACTCAAAAAAGCACATGGTCCTCAGTCTGCTTCTCAAGCTCATCATTGCAGCTGAAGGTACTTCACAATTAAAACAGAGGATCACCATTAAGGAAACTCCAGTGTTTACTGGCACAGCTCACTCCCATTCCACAGACATACACAAGAGTTACAGTGCGTCAATTTATTTTCAAATCACATGTAATCGTGTTTATTTCACAAGCAAATCTGAGAATTTCAGCACCAACAGCATGACTACAAAGAAAAAAATGTGTCAAACACAAGCAACATACTTGTGATGAGAAATGCAGACCTTAGCTCTCCATGTGGAACATTTGGGACAGTGTAACCAGTAACCAGTAACCAAGGTTGAACTTTTTTCTTCTGTATTAACAAATGTTCATACCTGTTTAAGAGATTTATGATTGAGTATGTGAACCAGCAACATTTTCTTTCATACTAGAATTTAAAGAGTGATTAAGAAAGTTTAACTTAAATATTTTAACTTCATTTTTTATGATGCAATGAAATCATAGCACTTTCAATTTGTCACTACCCTCCAATGAAAATATAAACACTCTCTGTTTATATAACAAGCATGATGTAACAGAACTCGTTAAGAAATGGATCAGAAATATAAAATTTAACTTCAAAAACATAGGAAAACATGATAAAAACACCAGCAAGTGAGGTGGAATTTGTGTACATGCAGATAAGATAAGATACTGGTAATATGAACAGGATAGAGAAATAGAAAATTACTCTTTAGAAAGAATCTCTTTTACTCACCAAAAGCTACTTTTGCATTTCTCCCCTTAGGGGATATATAAAATGTATAAAACTAAAAGCATGGATAAAATTTTAAAGAAAGAAAATACATTATATATTAGTATTGCATGGTTTAGCCCCTTTAACCTTAAAAAAATAATCTATAATTTTGTGAATAATAAATATTATTTCATGACTGGAAAATGCTGTAATGTGATGTGATGCTGACAGGGCAGTGAAAGGTGGAATCGTTAACACAATGTAAAAACAAGGAGGCGAAAAATAGCTTTTTAGGGTTTGATGAGAGAAAAGGACTGAGCTAGCCTTCTCCGAACACCATGTCACTCAGGACTGCAGTAACGGGTTGGGGCTTCACTCAACATCTGGGAGCTGTGCAGGAGTTTAACACCCTGGAACCAAACCACAGCCTCACTGAAGCAGCCTGTCCAGGATCTTCATTTCAGATTAGATAATAGGCGCTGTCGCAACTCAGGACCCCTGATCTGGTGGTTCATTGGTTTGTATAGGGAAAATAAAACCCTCAAAAAACATGAAACAAAATGTAAAGCCCTTTCCTCATGTGAATAATCCTTCCCTCACTTTGTCCATGGTCAGACAGACACTGTCCACGTGAATGATGGGCCAACTGGCTGCTGATCGCAAGCCTCATTTTGTGTGGTGTTGCAGAAGAACTTCTGAAAGAGCACAGATTCATGCCGACACCTTGGTACAGATAGGAAGGGTGTAGCGCAGTAAATCTGATTGCTGTTAAATGGTATCTGATGTCCTATCTACACCTACACTGTCTTCGAAAGCACCCGCATTTGAACAGAGGGCCATGCCTACCTGTTGCCGAATGAAATATAGTGCGACCCTCGCCTCTTTCTTACCTCCTCAGACACAGCCCCAAGGCAACATGCTTCTCCCCTTTCCAGTTCATGTAAAAGCAATTAGTTAAGAGCATAAATTGTAGCTATGTTGAAGAGCTGGAATCCCATGAAAACGAACACCTAGTTTTTTTACACTCTTAAAATTCTTGTTTGTGCAGACGTAGTGTACCTCCTTCTTGAGAGTTTATAGCTCGATAAACAAAACCTTGAATGCCCAGGCCAATTAGAAAAAGCAGAAAAATGGTAAAATGTAGAATACGGGGGGTAGCCAAAATGGAATACATATTAAGGAAAGTGATCGTTTTTTTTTTGCTTTACTGAGACCTTGTTAAAATGATCTGGGTTATCCATAATGATAGCATTAAATAGGACATTCCAATGTATCTGCTCCAGAGTTTTCAGCATGAGTGGTAATTAGTGTACTCGGGAGACTGTGGCTCCATGTAAAATAACTCTGGTGCTGCACTGCTTCCAGGAGTTTTATCAGCGTGCTGGAGCCACAGGCTTGGAATTTGACAGTCTGCTGCATTGCAGCTATTCCCTCTCTTTCACAACTTCCTCACTTATCTCCCATCCTGTGGCTGTAACTGCAGGCCAGTGCTCCAGCATTAACCCAGCTTTAACTGTGGTTACATGGATGCAGCTAAACCAGGCTCAAGGCACAAAACCCATTTAGCTTATTAAAGAGGGGAAACCTCAACTGACTGACCAGTGACCTGACTTATAATGAGTCACTGAGCTCTGTAACAACACTTATTGACAATAAGGCGAATGGAAAGGCTGTTGTTCAGGAGAACAATTTAGATCAAGAATATTTGTAATAAGTAAAACATTAAAACAGTATGAACAGGACAGAGAAATGTCTTTCTTAAAAAAAGAAATGTGTTAAACGGGTCTACACAATGGTCAGTTACTGGTGACAGAAAGGGAATTCGGAACAGCTCTGAAATGAATGAAAGTGCAGTAACTGCATAAACAAACACTCTAACATGGGACAGAGGTTTCTAGCAGACATTAAAGTTCTTCATCGTTCAGCCTTCACCCTTGGTATGTGTATTTGTTCCTATGTATCTCACAAACACTTGGGTAGGTGATTTTCTTGTACACAGCAAATGTACAATTTTTGTAAGTGCATATATAAATCTTTTAAAGACTGAGTACATGCTTCAATGCCATGTTTTAAATTCTGCTTAAGAAAACATTCCAACTAGCAGATCTGATCAATCTTTCAGAGGCCTTTCAAGCAGAAAACAAGGATAAAAAAGCAGGATCGTATCTGGTCTTCTGGGTCCGGGGGTGAACAGGGTCAGGCATGATTCACTTTCACACCAGCGCTGTCAAGGAGCAAGGCCACATTTCTGCTCTGACAGAGTAATAAACAAGTTCAGTTTATTTAGTCTCCTCTTACAGGGCCATGTTTTTCTTCATCTAGCATCAGAGCTTGTTTTGATGGACCAAGTGAGTTTATAAGCTCAGACACAGTAGAGTTTATTGAGGGTCTAAGAGAAGCCCCAGTAACAGACATGAACAGGACAAACATACTAAAATAGGCAGACATTAATGTGCACAAACAGACAGAGACACATACACTGATTCAAAACACACAATGAACAATAGCATGTTCATAGCAAAAGAAATATCTACACAGTCTGGGAATTGTTCTGGCCAGGGAAGGTGATGGAAGTCAATCTCATGATCTTGAAATAATCTACATATCCACTGTTCCTAATATTGTGGCCAGTAAGTGATTATGAATATATGTACATTTTTTCCCCAATATACACACTAGTACTGACATTTCACCTTTATTTTCCAAAACATATGGGATTGTTTCAGCTGAATCACTAACACGTTAATTATGTACAAATATTTTTATTGTGTCATGTTACACTATTACACTTGAATTACAGGTCAACATTAAAGAAAGCCTTTATTTTTTTCTCAAAGCCTAAAAAAAGCCCTGATATAGTCAAAGAATAGAAAAAGACACAACCAAATCTTGAAGAAATAGAGCTGAAACCCTGTATGCAATGTGATATAGGGAACTACACCTCCCCAACCTCCCCTGCTCACCACAACCGTCAGGGGCCAGAACACCAGATGTTTACCCAGTTGTGAGGAGTCCTGATGGCTTTTAATTGTTTATTTAAAACAGACAGCAAGGAGAAATTAAAATCAAACAAATACTATTTCTCCAAACATTGCACTGTAGGTGGTCTTGTCCAGTAAAAACAAATTGTGCAGAACTATTTCTGTCAAGTTCTGGTGCAAAGGGGAAATATTTATTTAAGTTATAATTTTCAGAAACTGAAATTATGGGATGCTTGATAGCCAGACTGGTGTTTACAGTCACTGACAGTTCAAAAAGTTTATGTGAATGTGTTAATACACACGGGATGTGAACAATAGCTCATTAATACTAATGGGAAACAATCAAGC